ATAGAATCAACACCAACCCATCAATTTCATTTTTGGTGGAAGCTATCATCATTGCCAGATACATGCTACACGTAATCAATTAACTCAATGTTTAGTTTGTTCACATTACCAAATTCCAATACTTCCATTAAGGCAGCATGTATGTTGTTATATTTGGCTCAGATTTAAATTGACTTCACTATTAATGGGGTCATACGAAACTATATGGAAATAGAATCAACACCAACCCATCAATTTCATTTTTGGTGGAAGCTATCATCATTGTCAGATACATGCTACACTTAATCAATTAACTCAATGTTCAGCTTGTTCACATTACCAAATTCCAGTACTTCCATTAAGGCAGCATGTATGTTGTTATATTTGGCTCAAATTTAAATTGACTTCACTATTAATGGGGGCATACGAAACTATATGGAAATAGAATCAACACCAACCCATCAATTTCATTTTTGGTGGAAGCTATCATCATTGCCAGATACATGCTACACTTAATCAATTAACTCAAGAGTGAAAGAAGATTACCATGTCTTGTTGTACAAAGTACAAACACAGTAATTAGGAGAAATTGTACCAGTGAATCAGCAACACTTCCAATACCATGACAGAAACATGGTTAGGCTTTTACAACCAGATCATTGACAGAAGCATAACAAATCATTAGTGAAATAATATATTACATATCTAAAAGATAAAGGTAAAAAGTATACTACTATCTGATCAAGAGAAGGGCCTCCACCAACATTGCCATCAGTTAATTCTGCATTGAAAACAATAAGAAGTTAACAATATGTATAAATATAAACACTGAATAGTAAATAAGTAAAAGTTAGTACCTGTTTCCAGCCTTTCTACCTCCTCAATATTTTCTTCAACTAACACAGGCTGGTTTGACATCCTCAACCAATCTTGAGCACATATGAGTGCTTCTACAATTTTGGCACTCAAAGAACTCCTAAAACAGTCCAACACTCTTCCACTTGTACTAAAAGTGGACTCAGATGCTACTGTGGAAATAGGAACAAGTAACAACAAGAATGTCTCTTGCCATCTTAGATAGGATATGAAACCTCTCATCATTAAGCTTCCACCATCTCAGTATATCAAATTCATTGTCCTCCTCAAGAATGTTCTCACTCAAATATAGTTCAAGTTCATTTTTTTCAACCCTAAAAGGCCACTATCTTGTTTTTGCTTTTTCAATTGGGCTTTGAATTTTGAGACAGACCTACTTTCAGTTGACTCAGATTGTAAAGAAACAGAACTGGGGGTTAATTGAGAGCTTTCACTCACTGAAACATCATAGTTTGTAACATAATCACCATACAACTCATTCAAACCCAGCTTTATCTTTGCAAAGAAAGTCTCACCTATCTTATCCCCATACAAAGCATTCAATTGATGTGGCATGTACTCATATTTGTCTCTAGGGTCAAGCACATTTGCAAAGAAAATGAGCATGTTCATTTTTTCTGGATCACCCCAGTACTTGTCCAGTTTGGATTTCATACTAGTCCTCATATTAGATACAGATTCAGTTTCAGAAGCAACCATATCTTTGAGAACAAGGAACAGATCAGATATTTCAGAGAAGAAGGTATTTGCAGTGACATAAAGAGAGCCTGAAATCCTAAGTGTCATATCATAGAAATTTTTAAGAATGACCACCAAAGTTTCAATTGCAATCCAGTCCCCAACATCAGGACTCTCACTCCCCAGATCAACAAGATAGGAACTCTCATTCTCCTCATAAGCTTCAAACACTTTTTCATTGGACATTGCAAATTTGAGCATCAAATAGGTTGAATTCCACCTAGTTGGGACATCTAGGTGAAATCCAGCTTTAGTTTCCATTCCAATCAAGTCTGAAATGTCCTTGAATTTTTGAAGCCTAGCAGGAGAATTTCTAACATACTTAACAGCATCCCTCACTCTTTGAACAGAAGAATCACTTTCTTTTAAACCATCTTGGACAGCCAAATTAAAGATATGAGCAATACACCTCATATGAAGGTACTTAACTTTTACAGAAGAGGCACCCCAAGATAAAAACTTCTTTTAAAAAAAACCAATTGCAGTGTCATTACTGCTTGCATTGTCAACAGTTACAGTGAAGATAGATTTCAAACCCCAATCTACCAGGCAAGACTCTAGGGCTTTAGCTAAGTACTCTCCTTTGTGGGAAGTCACACGAACAAAGGAAATTATTTTTTTCTTCAGCTTCCACTCATTATCAATGAAATGTGCAGTTATACACATGTAATTGATCCTTTGTACAGAGGTCCATGTGTCAGTTGTTATACTGACCCTCTGAGTGTGTTCCTTAAACAACCTTTTCAGACTTAATTTCTCATCTAAGAAGATTTGGTAGATATCTCTAGCAATTGTCCACCTGGAAGGAATTTGGAACCTAGGACAAGCTATAGATATAAACTTCCTAAATCCTTGTCTGTCCACAAATCTAAATGATAGCTCATCAATGATAAGAATTTCAGCAAGTGCTCTCCTAATTGCACCCTGATCAAACACCCAAGTGCCTAACACCCCAGTTTTTTCAGATGTTGGATTACACAGAACTGGCTGGAAAGTGAGAAGGGCTTGCCTAGCATCCTTTGAGCAAGGCAATTTCAGACAACTGAGTATGTGATTTCTAAGAGAGGAAGTGCCATGCTTCTTAGACTGACAACAGTATGTTTTACCACAATGCATGCATTTTCCTTTGATAACAACACCATTACTATCTTTGATCTTATCAAACTGATCCCATATTTTACTTCTAGACTCTACCTCCTTTCTCTTATTTCCAGGAACATTTGTCTGTTGTGTGCTGGTGTTAGCCCCAGCATCATGAGCTTCCACCATAGGTTCTTGGGAAACAGGAGTCAGAGGAGGTTGAGAGCCAGATGCAGGTATGATATCCATACATTCAACTTCCATTCTGATAAATGATAGGAAGTTATAGTTCAAAAAACTCAATAATGCAAGCTTCCAGATTGAACACAACATCATACATTGAAATTAAAGTCTGGAACAATCAGCAAGCTGATCTACAGAAGGATATAAGCAGTAGGCTTATTCACTTCTCTACAGACTTAGAAGATACCAATTCAGTCTAACTACTCATTTGAGTGTTAGAGTAGAAAAAGGCAACTTCAACACTTGTCAAAAGACTCAGAACTCATAATAAATCAACCATCATCTTTACTCAGGGGCCACTTATATAATAATCTCAGAATCACACAGGCATCATCGAGGCAACACATATTCAGAGGCCATTTATATCAAAATCTCAGAATCATAGATTCATATAATCATATGCCAAAGCATCACAGATTAACAAGTAGTTAGAAAGGGTATCAGGGTCCGAATCTAGGGTTTCAAGCTTCCACCAAACACATAATAGTGCATCAAAATAATACAACTAATTCATATACAAAACAAATAACACATCACACTTAGGGATCATGCTTCCACCAAATCAATTTTCAAAGCCAATATTACATATCGGAAGATGCATTAAATGGTTTATCACAGGGATTCACAGATTCACAACGGACCAAGGTCACCAAGCATACAATTTAGGTATTTAACGTTTATACCTCAGTAAGAATTAAAATTATCGAATGGGTTGCAAGCTTCCACGAATCCACAGGACCACAAGAGTAGAAGACCACAATGCCTTGCAAACTTCGTAACTTCGTAAGCCCGATACGAAGAGGTAATGAAATCGGAGTACAAGCTTCCACCGGAGTCCGGAGGTAACTACAGAGGTCGGACCTACGACGGAGAGTTGACAGGGATGGTTAGAGAGAAGTCGCAGACTCGCAGTAGGAGAGACTGAGAGAGTGAGAGATTGAGAGAGGGAGTTGCGAGTGAAGAGTGGAGGCGCTGGAGTGTTAGGGTTAGGGTTAGAGTTAAATAATTCGTATATATAGTATGGGTAGTTCGGGTTTTCGGGCGGGTCGGGTAGGAATTTATAATACCCTACCCGTAACCCATAACCCTTAAAACAATGGGCTGGGCTTTTCAGTTCGGATTTTCGGGTTCGGGTCAACCGACCCAATCGGCTATAAGAGGGCAGACCCGATCGGGTGGTCGGGTGGGTTCGGGTTATGCTCACCCCTAGGTCCAACATGCTAGTTTAGTGATTAATGATATTGTTATCATTAATGATCCTTAAAAAAACCTATGATTAATGATATTTTCATTTGGACTATTTTCTGTCCAATACCAAATTAGATCATACTAGAATTAAACAGGCAAAATTAGACCAGACCAAATATAAACAAGGTAGATCAATTAGGATCATACAAGATCATATCAGACTTAAACATATCAAATCATGTCGGATCAAACTAGACAAGATCAAAATATTTCCGTCCAATTAAAAACATCATAAGAATCTATACATGCTATATTTTTTAGAATTTTTCCAAAATATGAGTAAAAATAGATATTTCAAAATATGAGTATTTATTACTCCTTCCGTCCGAACATCACCTTCACTTTCTTTTTTTGTCTGTCTCAATATAAACTCTTCTTTCCCCATTCCGATAAAGAATTTATGGTTCACGGTATTTATCCCGACTTTCTCTCTTTTCTACATAACTTTAGATTACACATTTTTCACACTCTTAATCTGTGTGCAAAATCAAAACATGAGATAATATTGAACGGAAGGACTGAAGGAGCATTTGACGAAATATAAGTAAATTATTATTGTCGTGGAATCACATTGCATAATTTGATATTACTTGACATTACTATAATAAAATTGATTTCATATTTGACAATATTTCCCAAATATTACAATAATGATTTGTATTTGTGAAACTTAAAATTCATTTTTTTTGAAGCACATAAAATTCATATTTTAAAACAGCACATTATTTTTTGTTTTATTTTGGACGGTTTATGTTAATTTTACATTTTGCAATTTTGGGGGACATAACGGACTTTGCGTACGAACAACGAAGTCGCCTAAAAAAGAGCTGGGATTCGGCAAAATGACATAGCGGTGTCGACACCCACTTCCCCATTCTCCTGCGAAGACAATCCCCTGTTACAAAGTATTACACATTCCTTGTGAAAAAATGTCGACATTCCAGCTTCTCTTTCCCTTTCAATCCAGACGTTACCGGCAATCTGGGCGCCGCTCTGCGCATGATAAAAGTCTTCCTACGTTTCCTCTCAATTCTATTCTATTCTTCTCGCTATCATTGCACAGAGATTCGTAGCGCAGAAGGATAGAACATCTATATATATAGGCATATCTTTCTCATCTTTTATCATGTCATTCGTAGAGGTTCGATCTTCAATGTCCATTTTTCCATTTTATTCCTTCCTTCTTTCCTTATCTGTAGTTGTGATCGTTATTGTTCTGTATGTAAAGCTTATCAAACTGTCTCTCTGTTTTGTGATTTAGGGTCTTCTCCCGTTTTGCATGGATCGAATTAGAGAGAAGACGGGTATCTTCACAGGTAAACTCCCACGCTCAGAATTTTCGGTTACTCGTCAAGATTGAACTTTGAATTCTAGGTTTTGTGCCTGATGGGGAATTTTTCTTTGGAGATTATGTGGGTTGCTTTGTTAGAGTTACAATTTGCTCACATTATAGTGGTCTTAAGTATGGTTACCTTGTTGTTTAAGTTTAATCTCTGTATAACTTTGAAGATTTTATAAAGCCGTTCTGATTTTGGAATTTTGTACCCAGTGTGCTCTTTCGTACATGTCAATATCCCACCGTTAGTTTTCTCTTTATTGGGTTATACGTAGTATTATCTTAACTAACATTTCTTTTTGCTAACTGCTCTGTATTATTTGTCTTTGGGTCTGTGAGGTATTCCCTCTCACAAGGCACAACTATATTAAAAACAAATTTATTTGCTATAGTTTGTTTTAATTTTTTAGAAACTTGGGGTATATTTTGAACATAGAAAATGCTATGGAATTGAATATTTTGTGAAGGTGAGTTAATTTCTTAAATTTTGGTATATCTGTAGAAAGTACAATTTTTTTCCTTATATATGTAGTATTTAGATTTCTTTACTCTTTAGATAAAATAGTTGAATAGACAGAATGAGTTTGAAAAAATGTCTGAAATAAATTTAAAGAGTTGAACCTATATTTTGTTTTGCCCCAAATTTTATTTCCTTCAGATTTTCCTCTAAAAAAATCACCCTATTTTCTTTACTTTGTATTTCTGAGTTCTGAAGGACCCTTTTGGAATTCATTCTGGTGGGACGAATTCCGATCCATGAAGTTTAGCTATGGATGAAAGTGAAATAGTTCGTAGGGATTTCTTCAATACTTTCTTTTGTCAATACTTACTTATATAGTTAAGCAACTATGCATGTCCTGGAACAAGATTGAAAGCTTCTAAAGCACTTGAATACATTTCCATTTAGACCCTTCAGTGGATTAAATTAGTAACTATACATAATAATGAAGAAGATGAACTTTCTTCTATGATCAATGATCAATTTGTGTCGCCTATATGCTTAAGCATCTACCCCTCTTCCCTACCTACAATAAAAAGCATAAAATTTGTTTTTCGATATTGAAACTCTTGGAATTAAACAGATAGAAGATTTATATGCATTCATCCCCCCCCCCCCCCCCCCTAATAAATCAAATCATCAGAGGAAAATAAAATGCTAACGCTCTTAATTTGGTTGTTCCAACCAGTCTCTTTTTTGCAGAGAGTTTCTCAATCAATGTCTAACGTCAGCTGCGAAGGTGCTGGCAGAGAGTCACAGAACTGCCAAGACAGTGGGTCCGCTTTCATCCTGAAAATGGTTGCAATCGCTTCTATCCTTCTTGCCGGTGCATTTGGAGTTTCACTCCCATTAATCGGCAAGAAGCGGCGGTTCCTCCAAACGGACTCTAATCTCTTTGTTGCAGCCAAAGCCTTTGCAGCTGGTGTCATCCTTGCCACTGGTTTTGTCCACATGTTACCTGACGCTAGCGAACATCTGACTGACACCTGTCTACCTGATTTCCCTTGGTCAAAGTTCCCGTTCTCGGGATTCATCGCGATGATGTCAGCACTTGCAACATTGGTTGTGGACTTTGTTGGGACGCAATATTACGAAAGGAAGCAAGAAAAGCAAAGTCAAAAGGAAAATATTGAATCACTGGAGGCTGCGATGGTGGGGTCAGAGTCTGCAATTGTTCCGGTGGATACAAAAGGGAGGAATGGAGTGTTGTTTGGGGAAGAAGAAGGAGGCACAATTCACATTGTTGGAATGCATGCACATGCCGCTCATCATAGACATAACCATGCTCAAGAAGTGGGAGCATGTCAAGGCCATGCCAAGGAGCATTTACATGGCCATTCACATTCTCACTCACATGGTATTGGTCATGGGGATGATGAAAACGGAGTGAGACACGTAGTTGTTTCACAGGTGATTCCATTCCCAAATAGTAGTTATATAATCTTCAGTTATACATAGTAGTTATTCTCTTTGATTTTGTTGGTACACTTTCATTTTTTCTGTCCCGGAATTATGAGATTATGATCATTTCCTAATTTTGGCTCTAGTAACTTTTAAATTCCTGTTTTATCTTTTTATATGTCATTTCACTCTTTTTTGAACTTATACTATTTTTTTCTTCTTTTTAGAAGGTTATGATGGTAAAATTACAACCACGTCCTTCTTTTTCACAAAACTTTTCCTCTCCCAATATATCTTAGATTTTTTGAGAGTATTTATATGGTTCTCCTGTGCTTAAGGACATGTTCTCTTTGCCTAGTAAAAGGTTCGACTTACGTTTTATCTTTCAAGATCTCAGTTTGGATCTTTCTGATCTGAATAGTTCATGTTAGTATAAACCTTTCTAGTTTGGTCAAATAGATTCGTTTTTTGTCTAATTTTCAAGTATAACATCTAGTTTCAGATGTTATGATCTCCTTTAAATCTTTCTTGTAGAGATCTTTTTATGATCTCGTTAAACATAGAGAAGAATTGACTATTGAGTAATAAATAAAAAATGATTAAGATGCAGAATGCCCCGCTGAGACTTGATTTTAGTGGATGATAGTTTATTCTATGTATTTCTTGATTTCCTTGTTTTACTCTGATTTTTCTAATACGATCTATCCCTCACAGATTTTATGTTTTCTCTGAATGCAGGTTTTGGAACTCGGAATTGTATCCCACTCGATGATTATAGGTCTCTCTCTTGGGGTTTCCGAAAGTCCATGCACAATCAGGCCCTTAATCGCGGCACTCTCATTCCATCAGTTCTTTGAAGGGTTTGCTCTTGGAGGTTGCATATCCCAGGCCCAATTTAGGACTCTACGCGTCACTCTGATGGCCACATTCTTTGCCATAACGACCCCCTTGGGGATCGCTGGAGGGCTTCTTCTTTCTTCATTCTACAATCCTCAAAGCCCAAGGGCAATGGTGGTGGAGGGCATCTTTGACTCTGTATCTGCTGGAATCCTAGTGTACATGGCTTTGGTAGACTTGATCGCTGCCGATTTCTTGAGCAAGAAGATGAGCTGCAATACCAGGCTTCAGATCGCCTCATATTTTTGCCTGTTTTTAGGATCTTTACTGATGTCATCCCTGGCTATATGGGCCTGAATGTATCTCTATTTATCACTCTATATATATCTGCACGCCATCCTTGTGTTAATGACATGAAATCCAACAAATGTATATTATATTTCCTTCTAAAATTTGTGAGGATTATCGTTGTGTTGTTTGTTAAGCTTGTGTTGGGTTTCAGGCCTTGAGGGGTGGGGTTGGAAAGCAATGCCAAATTCTGATTCATAGAAATTTCTGAAACGGTATTCTCCTGTGCTATAAGTATTCGTTATTCACAATTTCACAAATTCAAGCCTCCAAGGGTTTCAGACTTTCAGTTTGGTTGACTAAACACCAAAACAATACTAGTATATTGTGTTAATTATTAATACTCTCTTTGTCCCATACAAAAGGACTCATTTCATTTATGATGTCTGACTAATGATGAAGTTAACCGATCTTTGTGAATACTTAGATTTTTTTTAGTAAATAAAATTTACATATTCAGAAATTATATTAAAAGTTTTGTAAAAGCAAAAAGAAATTCAAATTGGATAAAAGTTGAATATATAAATAAAAGATAAAAAACTACTCCATATTTGAGTTGAGTATAGAATAGGAACTGAGCACTTCTTTTAGGGGCATAGTTTTTTTGTGTGTGCTCCAAGTGGGGTCTTGGGGAGAGGGGCCTGGAGTAAAGTGGGTTGAAACTCACTGCATTGAGTTTCGAACTAACCTGGGACCTCTCATAAGGGAGAGTGAGTCGGCGACCAGCTCAGTTGGACCGCTTCTTCTAGGGGCATAGGTAATATTAATGTTATGTAGATTGTTTGTGGTGTGTTTTTAAGCCAATGTGATGCATTACTTTCTATAATCTAATTTCATGTATACCATCGTACCGTATCGTGTTGTATTATATGGTGTGGTATCGCATCGCAACACATCGTTAAGTAGTTAGACACGTGTACCATTTCGAATTTTAACAAAGATTTATAAACTTTAGGAAGAAAATAAATGAGATTCAAAGATCAATACAATTACCCCAAACTACATTTATTAATGGTAATTTCACACATTATAAACTTTAAAATTAGTGTAACACTTTAATCAGTTTAGTAGGATATATGTGTATCGGCAAGCTATGTGTTTTCGCGTCGGAGTCATTTCGTCATTTTAAAACACTTTATCTACCTCTTAGATAAATAATTAACAAACTAATTTTTAATATGAGCCCCAATATAAGAATAACAACAATGTAAAGAAGCTTAGAACCACAATACCCAATTTATGATAAAATTTTAATTATTTATTGTTTCAGTTAAAGGACTCTATAGTTTCACTAATGTAGCTTAATAAAAATATTTCTATATTCAGAACGCCATTAGGATGCACCTCACTAATGAAGCAAGGTGCGATAGTTGGGAATATCGGTGTTAGTTAAGCAAGTTGGCTAATAAGTTACTCTGTGTACTTAGCTTGACTCGTACTCGAACTCGACTCGAACCAAGCCAAATCAAGATTAATTAAGCTATATACAAACTCGACTTAGAAAACATGCAAGCTACTCAATTATGAGTTAATATCGATTTTATTAACACATAACATGACATTACACAATATATCCAAAGTATATAAAAAATTGTATGTATCTGTCTTTTATAAAATATATACGGGATATTCACATGTTGCACAATGTTTAGGTAATATTTTAAAAGCGTGATGCGGACTTTACGTATTATCAGGCGACTTTCAAGAAGATTTAAGAACAACTCATCGTATTTCATTCATCTTAGATTTAAATAAATTATAAGATGTGTGTCTAAATGTGATAACGGATCAAACTCTCTTTATAAAAATGCATCTTTTTAGAATAGATAAACCTCATATACAACTCGAACTCGATCTTAAGTTTTATTTTTTCTGACTTGAACTCGATTTTTGTTTATCAAACCATCTCCATTATTCGAACTCACCTTGCTCTATTAACACCTAGATTGGGGTCCCTAAAATTAGCCTTAAAATATTCGAGTTTAGAAATAACAAACACTTTTAGAGTTTATTTGATAACACTAAATTAAAATAATTGAATTAGATGAAACTATTGAAATTGATGAAACTCTAATTGAAACAGTTAATTGTTTGAAGTTCTTGAATTATGAAAACTTATTTTTTAATGGAGTATACGAGTCTGGACTCATGACCCACATATTTATAGATACTAGATTAGGCCCAACGAACATAGAAGCCAATAAACCTTCAGTCACCCCTGGATTGTGCCTCCAGACACCAAAACTAGTAAATCCGGAAACATACTGATGGATTATATGGACTCCGACCCCCCAGTATGCCGACTACTAGGCCTGGACAGCGGCCCACACACGTTTAGCGGATATCATTAATATTATTGTACATTATTATTATTATTATTATTATTATTATTATTATTATTATTATTATTATTATTATTATTCAGATGTTCTAGATTAGCTTTTTATACTATCAGTCCATTTATGTAACCGGGTCTGTCAGGCCCATATTAGAGGCCTAGACCCGGATTTTCCCTATATATACTGCTTATAGGAGGCTTGTAACTCATATAACAAATATTCATTCTACACATTTCATTCTTCTTCTCCATTTCTTCTCCATTCTTGTTCAATCTCTCCTGTTTATACAATATGGGTATCAATTATCCAACAATGGTGCTCTCGTTGAGAGGTTGAACACAATCAAGTGAGAAAACCTCCCCAAATTACCCAAAAAATTCATTGGAATCACAAAAAAAAATCGTTCCATTTACAAAAAATCAAGCAAAATCGGTCGGCCAAACAAAAAAAAGGAAATCCGGATTTTCCTGGATAAGCGTCTTCAGCTGGTGCCATCACCGTCTTAAGCCGTCGTACGCCATCTGTTGAAGCTCCCTGCACCAGTTAGAGTCCGTTGCGCCGTTCTCAAGAAGTGAGGTCGCTTCTCCCGAACTCACTATGCGTCCCTCCGCTGAATCTATTCGAAGGGTGGCCAGGAGATGCGATTCCGATCTGAAACGGGAGCATGGTTCAGAGTGGAAAACCCCGGTTGGAAGGTTTTTGCTCTTCTCCGTCTTCGAACACCGCCTTCTCCGGCGCCATTGTTCTCACCGCATGTAGCTCCACCTAGCCGGTCGCCGACTGCGCCGGTCGGTCCTCCACCTCACACGTCGCCGCTTGCAAGCCCACCTCTCGGTCGATATTGCCTGAGGATCTGACGGTTCGAGGTTCTCCATTAATGGTTGCTTTGAATTCTTAAGAAGCAGATTGGAATCTTTTCCTGTCGAGCTACCCACTCAGCTGCGGATTAACATATCAGATTTGATCCATCTAGTTTCGTTCTCCTTTGGCATATATGGTGGTCGTTTTGCTCCATCGTCGTTGCCGCCCTCCGCCCTCACTTCTTGTGACCGCAAAGCGTGACTTCTTCCTGATGCTGGTGAGCTGCGCAGATTGTAGATGAGCTGGTGTAATGGACGTATTGACAAAGAATCAGACGTAGTACAAATCAATTGACCCACTAAATTAATTCACTTTGTGAATTATGGCCTAGAAGAGTCCATACGTGGATGCACTTCCCTCCTCTCATGATGGCTGGCTGAGAAAATACGAAGCAAATATCTAGCTTCTGTTAAAATATGTGGGCCAGCAGATAACATTTAGCCCAGAACCAGTCTCAACAAAAACGGTGGGCTGTGGTTCTTGCAACAGATTCAGCTCATTTTAAAAAGATAAGCTCTTTAATTTTCATATTATTTATTTTTATTTAAACTAATTTTTGTCGGGCGAGCATCACACTATCACGCACTTATGATCAAATACCTAGTAGAGTGTGGCTTGAGACCCATCACTAGGATTTAAAGCCCTGACTCCTCAGGCACAAAGCCCTGTCTCCTCAGGCACAAAGCCCCGACCAAGTCGGGCATGAAGACAAAACCCTGACCAAGTCGGGTACGAAGACCGGTCTTAGTCATTCCTCGAGTGGCGACCGTTGCTTACGAATGGCTCACACATCCATTCTACTAAGTATTTTATCATTACATTAACAATTCACATCTCCACTTGTTTCAAGTGACGAACTCCCGATCGGGAACATAAATCCCAAGAAAATTTTTTATATGTATGATAAATGTGTAGGTACGAAGATGACTTTACTCATTTTCACCTCGTCTCCACTCGCCTCAAAGAGTGGGGACTGGGGGACTGAGGGGTCAGAGTTTCTAGATGAGCAGAAAACATCACGCAAGAGCAGGAACGAGAGCTGAGTCAGTTGAAGAGGAGCTGAGCTAGATTGATTATGCCAGAGGGGATTTACCTTCCTTGTTTCATGCTGGGGGCGCTAGGTGTACTCTTTTTCCCTTTATTAGGATTTTTTCCCACTGGGTTTTTCCTAGTAAAGGTTTTTAACGAGGCACCTCCCCATCATTGACAAGGGTGGTGGTCCCCCGGCCGAAGAGGAAGAACGTTGCAGATACAGTTTGGACTACTCCCTTTCGCCTCGAGTACTCTCGACTCAGGGAGTGGGGGACTCCTGATGGATTATATGGACTCCGACCCCCCAGTATGCCGACTACTAGGCCTGGACAGCGGCCCACACACGTTTAGCGGATATCATTAATATTATTGTACATTATTATTATTATTATTATTATTATTATTATTATTATTATTCAGATGTTCTAGATTAGCTTTTTATACTATCAGTCCATTTATGTAACCGGGTCTGTCAGGCCCATATTAGAGGCCTAGACCCGGATTTTCCCTATATATACTCCTTATAGGAGGCTTGTAACTCATATAACAAATATTCATTCTACACATTTCATTCTTCTTCTCCATTTCTTCTCCATTCTTGTTCAATCTCTCCTGTTTATACAATATGGGTATCAATTATCCAACACATACCAAATCAGAAAAACGACATCTCCATGTGGTGATCCCTTGTTTAGACAAGGGTTCATGCCCCGGGACTCACCACATTCTAGATATTGACAAGCACCACGTGCTCGCCTGTCATATGTTATAGGGCGCACTTCATAGATAGACTAACTTACACAGTTACACGTGTACGTGCTTTTATTGTTGATGGCATTTGTAACTAATATAAATAAAACCTGTGACGGCTAAAAAAACCAAGAGAGCTATACTAGGAGAGAGGAGAGGCGATGGGGAAACCCTAGCCTCCTCCTCTTCTTTTCTTTTTTCTTTTTTCTTTTTTCAGTCTCTTTTGGCTTTAATCACAAAAAGGTTTTATTTGAACATTATTTTAGTTCTACATATAGGTTGATTTCCTGGTGTTGTCCAGA